TATACACACACACACACACACACACACACATATTATGCAAAGCAAACAAGCTTTTTACATATTTAAATTATTTTATTAATTTTATTTAAACACATAATTGTTTAAAATGATAAAATACAATTATTAAAATTTAAATTTAAATATAATGAAATTGCACAATCTGAAACTTAATTTTACTATATAGTTTACTAATATTGAACATGTATTTTAAAATGATAAATTACAATTATTACAATTCAAATTTAAATAAATGAAATTACACAATCTGAAAATTTATTTTACTACCAAGTTATTATATTATTTATATTTCAATAAAATGTGAATTAATTAAATAATCATTAATATAAATAATTTAACATTTAAATTTGTTGTTTTGTATTTTTTTATATTTAATTCAAATAATTAAATTACAGATATGAAAAATTATTTTACTATACATTAGGGCTGCACAATTAATCAAATTTCTAATCGTGATTACAATTACAGATGCCACAATTACATAAACGTTCAAAGCGGCAATTAATCGTTCAAAGTCCACTTATGTTATTCTGCATGCTTAAGATATGTTTTTTTTTCTTTCTACATGTTATCCTAAAGGTTTTTCCCATTATTTTAATTTTAGTACACATTATAATACCATTCATATTTTAACTTTTTTTATAATTTAAAGAAGAAACCAATCCGATGTATAGTTGACATTTGAGGCTTAATACTATAGAAAAGCACTGAAGGTTTTTCAGTTAGAGCACGTGTCAAACTCAAGGCCCGCCACATCATTTTATGTGGCCCGCGAGAGCATATGATTTTCTTAAAATAAAAATCTATGCTGCTTTATATCGTAAATTATGAAAGTGCGTATCAATACCACAAGCTTCTGTTTCTATTTGGCGTTCTATTTATACGCAAATTGACTTTGGTGTGCATTATATAGGCCTATGATTCGCAATGGTTAGGATTAGGGGTGTGGGGTTTTTCCGTTGATGACGACTGCGTGGACGGCTCAAAGGAATAAGTGCGGACCTCATCAATGCTCGAGCACCACCGACGGAAATGGAAAAACACGATAATCTCCATTCATTGAACGAATTTAAAAAAATCGATTGCAGCTTTCAGACACGACTTTCTTCTCGTTTTAATAGTTCGTTTGAGGCGGTTTCTATGGAGTTATTTTAATGACAAATGTCCAGAGCGCATTATACAGCCTATGCGAGAGCGCATCAAATGCGCAAGCGCAAATCTCTCTGCTTGCAGGTGGATTCCCATTCATTCACTCTCACAGAAAACAGACACACTCTCTATCGGTCAGACATTACATGCGTGCTCTAAAAAATGATCTTCTCTCCTGAGTTTAATAAACGCAACCTGGAGTGTGGGCATCCACCGGCAGAAACATACATTGGCGCATATGCCAACTAATGTAAATGTGTCAAACTCAAGGCCCCCGGGCCTATTTCGGCCCGCCACATCATTTTATGTGGCCCGCGAGAGCATATGATTGTCTTAAAATAAAAATCTATGCAGCTTTATATCGTAAATTATGAAAGTGCGTATCAATACCACAAGTTTCTGTTTCTATTTGGCGTTCTATTTATACGCAGAAATTGACTTTGGTGTGCATATGATACGCAATGGTTAGGATTAGGGGTGTAGGGTTTTTCCGTTGATGATGACTGCGTGGAAGGCTCAAAGGAATAAGTGCGGACCTCATCAATGCTCGAGCACCACCGACGGAAATGGAAAAACACGATAATCTCCATTCATTGAACGAATTTAAAAAAATCGATTGCAGCTTTCAGACACGACTTTCTTCTCGTTTTAATAGTTCGTTTGAGGCGGTTTCTATGGAGTTATTTTAATGACAAATGTCCAGAGCGCATTATACAGCCTATGCGAGAGCGCATCAAATGCGCAAGCGCAAATCTCTCTGCTTGCAGGTGGATTCCCATTCATTCACTCTCACAGAAAACAGACACACTCTCTATCGGTCAGACATTACATGCGTGCTCTAAAAAATGATCTTCTCTCCTGAGTTTAATAAACGCAACCTGGAGTGTGGGCATCCACCGGCAGAAACATACATTGGCGTAAATGCCAACGAATGTAAATCAGTATTTACATACAGGTGCATCTCAATAAATTAGAATGTCGTGGAAAAGTTCATTTATTTCAGTAATTCAACTCTGAGCCAAACTCATCACAATTAAAAGAACCAAAGACTTAAACTACTTCAGTCTGTGTGCATTGAATTTATTTAATACACGAGTTTCACAATGAGTTGAATTACTGAAATAAATGAACTTTTCCACGACATTCTAATTTATTGAGATGCACCTGTAGCATAACAGTAATAAATGTATCTGTTTCGCACATGTCCCGCATTGTCCCGTAAAATCACATCTACTGTCCTGCAACAGATCTATAGCCAGGTGGTCACCCTAGCGTAGAGTAATAAAATAATAATTGCTCATTTAAATCAGTAAAATTTAACGAAAACAATACATTAGAAAAATGATGATACTTGTCTTTATTTAGGCTACTTTGATTTATAGAGTAATTTGGATTTCTTAACCTGATAAATTAAAAGGATTTATGTTAAAATAACACAGAGCAATTACATATATTTTTACGTCTATGCAAATGCATGCAATATTTGTAACTTAAATAAGTAATAAAATAAAGAGACAGTTATTTAACAATATGTGACCCTGGAGCACAAAACCAGTCTTAAGTCGCTGCGGTATATTTGTAGCAATAGCCAAAAAAAACATTGTATGGGTCAAAATTATAGTTTGACACCCCTAAGTTAGAGTGTTTTCAGCTTGTTTACTTTCATATAAAAATACGGCATGCAGTTGCATAAAACAATGGTATAAACATCATTCAATGTCAATTGTGGTAATCGTAATTAACAATCGCAATTACAATTTCAAGCGAAAAATCGACAATTATGATTTTTGTCATAATCGTGCAGCCCTACTATACATTTCTCTAATAAAATTTTAATTGTATTTTTTATTATGTATATATTATAATTGTATATTATAATAAAATATAAATTATACTATGAATTAATGTATCAAAAAACAGCAATTAAACATGTAGGAAACACAAGCCATATTCTCTACATATTCGTCATTGCCCATTAATCTCTATAAGTTGACCAGGGGGCGTATTACAGAAAGTTTCTTATCTTAGGTCTTAACTTAAGATATGATATGTTAAATTAGGATTTTTCACAAATTTGTATTACAGAAGCAAATCTTAACTTGATTTGGGATTCTTATCCTATATTACAAAATCGTATCTTATCTCTAGTTAGGAAATCTTAAATTGCATTATCAAGTTCGACGATCCACTCTCAGGTTACTTTACTTTGAAAATCGCCTTTTGCAAAAAAAACGTAAGGCATTACACCGTGTCTACACCGGACGCGAGTGGCGCGACAAAATACTATAGAACTCATTAGTGCTGGGTGGTATGACCAAAAACTTATATCACGGTATTTTTCAAAATGAGACCGGTTTCACGGTACATGACGTTTTTTTTTTTTCATGCATGACCGGGTGTGAACCATATTTTCTACTGATTGAGAGGAAATACTGCAGTATATTGACTTAGAATGCCCTATTTTACTGTCATGATCAGTGAATATTGTCAAAAAATCCGGTATACCGCCCAGCACTAGAACTCATTATAGCCAGTGATGCTGTCTACACTGGATGTGGCGCGGCGCGACAAATCCCCGACAGAAAACCGCTGCCGCGTTATATTTATGACGTGCTGACACAAAGTTCAAATGATTTTCAATGGTTGCTTTGTCGTGTCCAGTGTAGACAGACTTTACCCGTCGTGTCCGGTGCTCCGTGACGCTTTGTTGGTCTCTGTAATGCTGGTTGCAGCTCCTGTGCTACTGTAATATCATGTTGCTCGGCAGTCTGTAATTACTTATAAGTGTTTTGTCATCAAAATGTAACATCTTCAGGGTCCTCCAATAGTCTTTTTACCATTAAACATCTCCGTTCTTCATTTTCAGTTATTAATAAATGTAATACCATTGTTGGACAGCACAATTGTAAGCGGTTTTTCCATTAGCTTTCAAATAATTTCGAAGTTAGGACAGCTGTGGGGCTGTCCTAAAGTTAAGACAGTTTTTAGGATGTTTTGTCAAGTTAGGAGGTTTCTGTAATACCCCCTTCCTATCTTTAGTTAAGATAAGATAACACACTTAGGAAACGCTGTTCTGTAATACCTTTTGTCCTAAATGTGGTCCTAACTGAAATTACCATGATTACCAAACAGACAAGATAAGATTTTAAAGTTAGGATCTTTCTGTAATACACCCCCAGCAGTCCAAACGTACCTTGTCTAGTTTGGACTCGAGCTCACAGACGTTGCCCTCCACCTCCTCGATCGTCGCCCTGTTGAAGACAGAGCAGGATTTCAGACATTTACAGTAACTCGGGCGATATAGACTCCATCACATCACCACCACACTCCACAGGATCAGATCATGGAAAACACAGTGTTATGCACTACTGTGTGCTTCAACATTCAAAACAAGAAAAACAAACCCAAAACAACTTAGTTTGGAAATTCACACCAATTTCTTCATTAACTGTTGGAAATATAAAGGAACGCTCAAATATGTAATTTTGTCAGAAAAGTTTTATAATTTAAAATATTGTATAATATAATTTATTATCGGCATAGCTTTAAACTATGCCGGTAGGCAGAGGTCAGCCAATCACAACAGAGCTAATTTGCATACATATCTCTTAAAGGTACAGAAGAAAAAAACAGGGTCAGAGAGAAGGTGGAAAACGTCATGAAAAACTTAAACTGCGTAAGAAACCTTGACTAACATTACAAATGAACTTCAGGGGTCACATTAAATGCTTTAAAAGTGTCGAATGTAAACAGGCACTGGTGTAATTGGTTAAAAGCAAAAGGAAAAGTCAGATTCTGTTGATCAGCCGTTACGGTTTAATGCAATATCTACACATCATTTTGTCCTGAGCACAGCAAAACTGTGAGAAGAGATGATCTGTGCAGTTTCACTCCCTTCAACAGCTGCTTTTCTCCTCATATTTCCATGTGACTTCATTGCTGGGATGTTTGAGTTAATCTAAATTCCTGAATAAGCATGAGAAAAACATCTCTATATAGCACACTCAGATGCACCGCTGAGGTCCTGGATGCTGATCGTCAGTAGAACAATTAGACTCAATCCTCAACAAGAACGTTTCTTAATATTTATTTACCCAAGTAACCTCAGAAGAGCAACAGAAACACTGGTTCCTGATGAATATGGTATGATAAACTTTCATAACTCCTCTCAGATCATGCACGCATGATCAAATCTTACACGGATATGGCCCTTCAAGACTAGGGTTGACGTCAATATTTTTCAAATATATGTCGATGTAGATATGAGTAATAACTTTTGTTCCATTCCTTACACAAAATTAGCAAATAGATTCAAATGCACAATATATTGGTAACATCCTTTTTTAATTTAATTTATCTGTTGGATATTTAATTGTACATTTCCCACATTTTTATATTTGGACTAAGAGAGAATTTTAGAATGATTTCTGAAGATCATGTTACTCTGAAGACTGGAGTAATGATGCTGAAAATTCAGCTCTGATCACAGAAATAAATTAAATTTTACTATATATTCACATAGAAAACAGCTGTTTTAAATAATAATAATATTTCCACAATAGTAAAAAAAAAAAAATACAAAATCAAATTAGTGTTGTTAGTGTTTATTTTTAATTAATTCTGATAAAATAACTTTTGTTATCGGTCTTAAGTCATAACACTAAAATAATTATTGACTTAATATCAGCCAGTGTCAGTGCATTCCTGATTAGACTTGTGCCGGTATTCGGTAATACGATATATCACGGTAATGAATATGCACGATATTGTTATCGTGGGCTCTTCTAAATACCGTGAATAATTATATATTACAAATTATTTAGAATTTTTAATGCATTTTAAGAATACTTTTCCCATCAACTGGTCAAAATGCACAACACCGCTGTATGCTGCGTGAAAGACGCCTGCACACTCTGATGTAAACAAGTGCGGACGAGAAGCACATGGCGGAACATGTGAGAGACGCTCTGGATGAAAGCGCACTTTCACTCTCTGACAGCAGATGGCGCTAAACTGCAGATATAATAATAATAATAATAATAATAATAATAATACAACACCGTGATAATACCGTATACCGTGATAAAAGAATGAGCAATTAATCGCAACATGAGAATTTGATACCTGCATATCCCTATTCCCGATATTAATCAACATGCAGGTATGGTTTTAATTATAGTTTTATTTAAAGGGGTCATATGATGCGATTTCAATTTTTCCTTTCTCTTTGGAGTGTTACAAGGTCTTGGTGCATAAAGAAGATCTGTAAAGTTGCAAAGACTAAAGTCTCAAATCCAAAGAGATATTCTTTATAAAAGTT